AAGCACATATATCACATTTTGTTTTTTGAATAATTACATAACTAAATTTCAATATACTTGTGGGGGTTTTTTTGTTGTTGGTTTAGTTTTTTTGGTGACTTATTTTACTTTCTTTGTTAAAAATCTATATGTATTCTGAGATGAGACCCAAATGCAAAGATGCTCATGGTGTAGAAAAGATTGGGAATCTCAGTAGTCTGGCGCACCACCACCCTACATCCTGAACACTCCTCTTTCTCCCCCAACGCAGTCCTTTCCCTTCATTTTTCCTTTCCTCTGCTCAGGCTCTGCTTGCAGACTCAACTCCAGCAATCCACTTCATCTCAGAATCCAAGGAGGTTTTTTTTTTGTTTGTTTAATTCCTAACTGAATGCTAAGCCTTTTTCTCCAACTACACCCATGTGTTAGTTGAGGCAGATGGGAAAGTTAGATAATACATGTGAAACCAACCTGCTGACACATTAAAAGTGTAAGGGGGCTGGGGAGAAGGAACAGCAGAATGTAAAAATCAGAAAAGATATCTTTCTGGCTGAACAGTAGCACAAACTGAAGTAAATATCAGTAATCTTGTTTAACCTGACACAGAAGCTCTTAATAAACAATGGTGGTGATCATTGAGCTTTTCTTTTTTCTTTTTAAATAGAAATCATGTTGTCGATGTCAATGTTGCAGTCAGTACCCAAGCAGGACTCATCACACCAATTGTATTTAATGCACACATAAAGGGACTGGAAACCATTGCTAATGATGTTGCTTCTTTAGCAACCAAAGCTCGAGAGGGTAAACTACAGCCACATGAATTCCAGGTAAAGTATTATTTATTCTCCTTCTGAATGTTAAGAATTATGTTATTTTTAAGGCCCGTATTATGTTTTTATTGCATTTTCCACCTTTTTTTCCTGCCTTGTATTCCCATTGACACAAAGGCCAAAAAATAAAGAAAAACTGAGTAACCTTTCAAAGGCTAAAAATAATGTTTTCCAACTAGTGTGCAAAAGCCACACACCTACTTTAACTGTTATTGTAAAGAGTGCATATTTAAAAAAGAGTATTTCATTCAGGCCCCTTTTTTTTTTCCTTTTAGTTTTAATGACATAATTATAGTTTTAATGACATAATTAGCAATATTTAAGGTGTGCAGCTTAATGTTTTGGTATATACATATATTATGAAATGATCACCACAGTCAAGCTAATTAATGTCTGCCACTTTATATACTTCTATTTTCTTCTTTTTGTTTTTATGATAGTTTAGAAGCTTTTCTTAAAAGATTACCTTAAAGGCAAAACCGGTTTGGCTCAGTGGATAGAGCGTCTGCCTGCAGTCTCAAGGGTCCCAGGTTCGATTCCGGTCAAGGGCATATCCCCAGTAGGAGGTGTGCAGGAGGCAGCTGATCAATGTTTCTCTCTCATTGATATTTCTAACTCTCTATCCCTCTCTCTTCCTCTCTGTAAAAAATCAATAACATATATATATTTTTTAAATTATCTTAAGGATTTTTTTTATATGTTGACAAGCAATTAACAGGATATTTTTTTCCTTTAGGGTGGCACTTTTACGATTTCCAATTTAGGAATGTTTGGAATTAAGAACTTCTCTGCTATTATTAACCCACCTCAGGCCTGTATTTTGGCCATTGGTGCTTCAGAAGAGAGACTGGTTCCAGCAGATAATGAAAGGGGGTAAGTGCCAAAATGGAGAGGGAGCTATAAGTTCATTTTCATTCCATTATACCTATTTTTGAGTTTAGTTCAGACTTATTGGCATGCCTTACTGGAACGTTAGGTAGAGTCAGACATAAGTATAGAATGAAGTTTCTCAGGGCAGCATCTCTTCTTATTTTACTAAATGTAGTTAATCTTTTTTGAGATGGAAAGCCTTATTCACTCTGACTACATAAGTTCGAGGTCACCATGCTTTTTTCTTAAAGAGGCATATAGTAAATATTTAGGCTTTGTGGGCCATATGGTCTCTGTTGCAAATACTCTGTCACTGTAGTGTGAAAGCAGCCTTACGTACTATGTAAATGAATTCCAGTAAGCTTCATTTGGTGGGATTTGGCCTGTGGGCTTTTAGTTTGCCAGTCCATGCTCCAGATGGCTGTTTGGTCTGTTTCTTCAAGCTATTTGGTTTGGAAGTATATAGGACATGAACAGTGGGTCGAAAATAATTTACCTGGTTGGGATTATAGGGTCAGAGGTGGCATTTGGGCTGGTTACTAGCTACAATCAGTAATTGCTTCTAGAATCCCTAATAATGTTTTTATCTTTTTCTAGATTTGATGTGGCTAGCATGATGTCTGTTACACTCAGTTGTGATCATCGGGTTGTGGATGGAGCAGTTGGAGCCCAGTGGCTTGCTGAGTTTAGAAAGTACATTGAAAAACCTATCACCATGTTGTTATAATTAATCCAAGAATTTCTATAGACTTTCCCAAGTCACATTGGTTCATTCTTACCAAGATATAAATGTTATTAAACAGGCGTTTCTCTTTATTTGAAAGATAACCAGTTATTTTTTAGTCTGTCCAGTTAAGTTATTTGTAATGGTCATTACTTTTATCTTTTAAAATGCCAGTTACACCCAAATATTGTGCACATTCAGTAAATAGCAGCTTTTAAGCTGTGTACTCCTAGGCAAGGGACCTGTGGCATAGCCATTTGGTGTTAAGTACTTCCACTGGGAAATGTAGAGGTAGAATTGTGGTTCCCTATTGAGGCAGGTATATACAAGTAACCTGGATGAAACTATGAGGTTTTGAGATCTAATTGCCTCAAATGTTTTCCTTATATTTAAAGAAAAGAAGGATCAGGAAAATTTATTCTTTTGGAGAAAAGGTTTGAATCGAAGTGTGATGTTTTAACTTAACCATAATTAAAAATTTTCTATTACATGATCTTGTTTTTATCATGGATGGGAAAAGTAGAAAACTTCAAAGAAGATAAGTGAAATTTTAAAAGTCAACATTCTCTTAGACTTCTTCAGCCACTGTTCTTTGTTTATTTTTTTATGTATCCTGAAATGGTTGTTCCCCCTTCTTGAAATGAGACAGGAATATAAACCAGCTGCTTGGCATAAATGAGAATTTGTGTGAATATTTAAACTACTTAAATGTATAATTCTGAGCAGAATTCTACAGTTACCTCCAAATAAAAGAATATGCTTATAGAATTTAACAGAGAAGTTGTGAAAGTAGAATTTTTCTTCCAATGTCAACTGGAGGTTACTTGCAAATGAGCTTAGTTACCAGAATTTGGAAAACTATATTAAGTAACAATCGAATACATATACATATATAAAAATTGGTTTCTAGCAAGATATGTGCCAAAGTCCGAATGTATCAATATATCAACAAGTTCTGTCTGAAGAGGGAGAGAGATACATTGGTGAACAGTTTAGAATGTAAAAGATGATGACCACAACAAAATGGTCATTTCCATTTGGAAAAAGGAAAAACTGTTAAATGTGTGTTAAAGTGTCCTTTGTTTTCCCACCACAGTGTTGACTCTGTAAAATAAAAAAGCCCTAAAATCCTATTGAAGAGAAAAAAATTATTCAGGTTGCATTCTATCTTATCTGCCTAAATATTTTTTCCCATTTTGCCTTTCTTCTGAGCAGGGGCTGGGGTGAAATTCAAGGTAATAAAAACAAATTGGGAACATTATTACAATCTAGGCTTTCTACTGAATTGATGTGTTTTAATAAATATCTGAAATAGTTTGACTATTTAAAATTAATCTGACTAGTACTTCCTTGTATATAGTATGTGGAGCTATCTCCTGAAATTAAGTTCTTTTGTTGTTGAATCTATTTCTAAATGTTCATTATTACATGGTGCACAGTGACACTCCATATATTCCATAAATATTTCCCTTGTACTGTTATGAAAACATTAATACAGTGATTGGTAATCATAGCTTGAACTGAAGATTATTCAAAAGGAACAAGCTTCTCACAGGGACCATCAGTATGAGTCATATCTGGTTCAAACACACGAAACTTCAGAGATAATTCATTATTTGCTAATGTTTATGGCTCTTTTGTTCCCTTTAAAGAAAAAATTAAAAGTTGCCTTCTAATAAAAATTGTTCTGAATTAAAAATCTGGCCTGTAATCTAAATCTGGATTCAGTCTATTTATCTTACCAAAATTGAAAGAATAAAAGTTAGAAATAGTGGTTTGGTTCAAATTAGATTGTTTAAAAGTGAAACTATGTTTTCAATGTGTCTGATCTAATTTTTTATGTGTAGGTAATTGATTTTCACATTAAGTGGTTAGGTACAGGGACAGCTAATCCATGTATAAGCTCTTAGTACAGATACAGTTTGATTTTATAAAATTGATGAAATCAATACTGAGTTCAGAAGGGTATAATCTAATGCTTTAAGCTCAAGGAGTTCCTGAAGACCTTGTGTTGGGATATGGCACGTAGCAAGATGAAAGTGTGGCCTGGCGCTCTCAGACATTTACCTCCAATCCTGAGGTTTTTGTGATTGTAGTTATGGTCTCAGGCAGAGCATGGTCTACCAGAGGGGTTGACATGATAGGAATGTGCTGCAGGGAATACTCATCACCTGTGCAGAAGCCTGGAATACATGGGAAATGATCACTACTGACAGCTGATCTAAAACCAAGTTTACAGAAAAATGAAGTCCATCTCAATTTCCAGTTTTGAGGGAAAAAGATTTTGGCAAGATTTAAATTTAAACACTGTTCATTTTAAGTTAATGCTCTTCCTGGGCCAAGTTTTGCTTTTTTGCAGGGAGGAGAAAGAGGTAATGTTTTTATGAATATAAAATTCATTGAAGGCCTGACCAGTGTGGCTAAGTGGTTAAGCATTGACCCATGAACCAGGAGGTCACAGTTTGATTCCTGGTCATTACGTATGCCCAGGTTTTAGGCTGAATCCCCAGTAGGATATGTGTAGGAGGTAACCAATGGATGATTGATACTCCCTCATCATTGATGATTATACCTCTCCTCCCTCTCTGAAATCAGTAAAAACATTTCTAAAAAATTTAAAAGAAAAGAAAAACGCCTTCAAGTAATATGTGAAAATATTTTGGGATAACTATATCACTAATAACACTAATTTTATTAGTGAGTACACAAATACATAGCTGCTGACATGAGTACAAGAGTAGAGATTAAACCAGTTCTATGTGGTTAGTTATGGGAGTTTCTAGGAAATAAGTTTTGACTGATTTTGCAGAAGAAAAGGCTAAACTCCCAAGTGTTTTTGAGGGATGAGAGTGTAATAGGTTTGTTAATTTTAGGACATCATACAATTTTAGGACTTCTTTATAATAGATGGTAAATTATCATATTGCTAGAAGGATTCAAATCAGGTCAGGTTTAAGAAAATTATGTTTTGCCCTAGCTGGTTTGGCTTCGTGGCTAGAGTGTTGCCCTGTGACTGAAGGGTTTGGGGTTTGATTCTGGTCAAGGGCACATTGCCAGGCTTGCAGGCTGGAGCCCCAGTTGGAGGTGTGCAGGAGGCTGCCGAGCAATGATTCTCATCGTTGATGTTTCTATCTTTTCTCCTTTCTGAAATCAATAAAAATACATTTTAAAAAAGAAAATTGTTTTTAAATGTAACATCTATTATTTCTAGTACAACTATGACATCAGCTTCTAAGTTAAGTCTTAAAATAATTTATTTAAAGACTTCATACTGAGCCCTGGCCAGTTTGGCTAGTGCAGTGGTTGGCAAACTCATTAGTCAACAGAACCAAATATAAACAGTACAACGATTGAAATTTCTTTTGAAAGCCAAATTTTTTAAATTTCTTTTTTTTTTTTTTAAATATATTTTATTGATTTTGTACAGAGAGGAAGGGAGAGAGATACAGAGTTAGAAACATCGATGAGAGAGAGTCATCGATCAGCTGCCTCTTGCACACCCCCTTCCAGGGATATGCCCGCAACCAAGGTACATGCCCTTGACCGGAATCGAACCCGGGACCTTTCAGTCCCCAAGCCGACGCTCTATCCACTGAGCCAAACCGGTCCCGGCTTTTTTTTTTTTTTTTTTTTTTTTTTTTAAATATATTCATTTTTATTTTATTTTATTGATTTTACACAGAGAGGAATTGAGAGGGACAGAGAGTTAGAAACGTCGATGAGAGAGAAACATCGACCAGCTGCCTCTTGCACACCCCCCACTGGGGATGTGCCCGCAACCAAGGTACATGCCCTTGACTGGAATCGAACCCGGGACCTTTCAGTCCGCAGGCAGACGCTCTATCCACTGAGCCAAACCGGTCCTCAAATTTTTTAAATTTCTAACGCCACTCCTTCAAAATAGATTTGCCCAGGTTGTGGTATTTTGTGGAAGAGTCACATTCAAGGGGCCAAAGAGCCGCATGTGGCTCACGAGCCGCAGTTTGCCGACCATGGGGCTAGTGGATAGAACACTAACCTGTGGTCTGAAGGGTCTCCATTTATTCTAGTCAAGGACACATCTCAGTTGCAGACTTGATCCCTGGGGCCATGAGGGGGAGGCAGTCAATTTATGTGACATTGATGTTTGTCTCTCTCACTCCCTTCCACTCCCTAAAATTCAATGGAGCCTACCTGGTTTAGCTAAGTGGATAGAACATTGGTCTGTGGACTGAAGGATCCCAGTCAAGGGCTCGATCCCCAATGAAGGGCGTGCAGGATACAACCAATCAGTGATTCTCTCATTGATGTTTCTTTTTAAAAATATATATATATTATTGATTTTTTACAGAGAGAAAGGGAGAGGGATAGAGAGAAACATCAATGAGAGAGAAATATCAATCAGCTGCCTCCTGCACACCTCCTACTGGGTACATGCCTTTGACTGGAATCGAATCTGGGACCTTTCAGTCCGCTGGCCGACACTCTATACACTGAGTCAAACCGGTTAGGGCTCATCAATGTTTCTATCCCTCTTTATTCCTCTCTGAAATAAAAAAAAAAAAAATACTTAAAAAAAATCAATAAAAAAATTCCCTGGGATGAGGATTAATGACAACAAAAAAAGACTGTTGAACTAGAAACTAATCACAAGGAAGTTTTGTATCTAGAAAAGATAAGCGATGTTTATAATTTGATGTGAGCATTGCTTTGGATGTAAGTTGGAAAGTTGATATATTTGTATTGAACAACTATCTTCCAACTTAGATGAATGGGGTTGAAAAGTATATCACCTCTGTATTTTTTAAAAGTTAATCTCTTAGGCCGGGACCGGTTTGGCTCAGTGGATAGAGCGTCGGCCTGCAGACTGAAAGGTCCCGGGTTCGATTCCGGTCAAGAACATGTACCTTGGTTGCAGAAACATCCCCAGTAGGGGGTGTGCAAGAGGCAGCTGGTCGATGTTTCTCTCTCATCGACGTTTCTAACTCTCTGTCCCTCTCAGTTCCTCTCTGTGTAAAATCAATAAAATATATTTTAAAAAATAAATAAATAAAAGTTAATCTCTTAGGCCTGCTTAGTATGGCTCAGTGGTTGAGTATCACCATGAACCAGGCGGTCACAGTTCGATTCCTGGTCTGGGTACATTCCTGGGTTTCTGGGCTCGATCCCCAGTAGGGGCCATGCAGGAGGCAGCCAAACAATGATAATCACTGAGATTTCTCTCCCTCTCTGAAATCAACAAAAACATGTTTTCAAATGTTATTTTCCTGAGAGAAAGGTACTTGTCCCAAAGACACTTGTCCTTTTTCTTAAAATAGAGTTGGATGTATTTTATTTTGCATCTTATATGCAATAATATCCAATTACTAATCAAAGGCCATATGTGCTATTAAAAGTCCTGCCTAGGTTAGAGCTGTTCTATGAGAGTACAGAGGTTCACAGAATCATAGGTTTGCATATTCTTACATTGGCCTGTATCGTTATCGCTGGAGGAAACTTGACTGCTATACCCCCCCCCCTTTTTTTTTAAATCAGTCTTTATTGTTCATATTGTTACAAAGGTTCCTCATTTCTTGCCCCCTCCACCAGGTTCCCACCCCACCCTCCGCCCCCTCCCCATCCCCCATTGTCCTCATCCTATGTGCAGTTTATGTTCAGTCTCTTCCTCTGATAGTAAATCCCTTTTCAGATAGTAAATCAGTTACTTAGCATTTTCTCATATCAATAATACCACCACATGCCCAATGATACATTTCACACAAAAGACATTTCCAAATAGGTCAACCAGCCTCATCCAGGCCCCACCCAAGGCACTCACAGATCAACACCCCAGCCCTATACTAACTCAACACATCCAGATCTAAGCCTTCATCACTTGATTCAGCAGACCCTCAAGTTCCCACAAAAGTTTCCAGCCATGTCTGAGAGGTGGCCGTGGGGCAGGGGCAGGCGAGGAGAGAGCTGTTCCGGGCCTGGCTGCTCCGGGCCTGGCCTCTGTTGCTCTGGTTCGTTCCACAACCAGCTGCTCTGGGTCTGGTCACCGCCTCTCCCGACCTAGTTGCTCTGGACCTGGCTGCTGCTGCTCCGGGCCTGGCCGCTCCCAGCCTGGCAGCCGCTGCTCCGGGCCTGGCCGCTCCCAGCCTGGCAACTGCTGCTTTGGGCCTGGCAGCACCAGACCCGGCTGCTCCGGACCTGGCCGCTCCCAGCCTGGCAGCTGCTGCTCCGGGCCTGGCCACACCAGACCTGGCTGCTCCGGGCCTGGCTGCTCCCAGCCTGGCCGCACAGGACCCGGCTACTCCGGGCCTGGCCGCTCCCAGCCTGGCAGCCGCTGCTCCGGGCCTGGCCGCTCCCAGCCTGGCAGCCGCTGCTCCGGGCCTGGCCGCACCAGACCCGGCTGCACTGGGCCCGGCTGCCCCGGGCCCGGCCGCTCCAAGTCTGGCCGCTCCCAGCCTGGATGCTCTGGGCTTGGCTACTGCTGTTCTGGGCCTGGCTGCTCCCAACCCAGCTGCTCTGGGCCCAGCTTCTCCGGGCTCGGCCACTCCGGGTCTGGGTGTTCCTGGACTGGCCACCCTGGGCTTGGCTGCCTCCATCTCAGGCCTGGTTGCCACTGCCCCAAGTCTGGCTGCTCCAGTGCTGGCTGTTGTTGCTCTGGTTCTGGCTGCTGCTGTTCTGGGGCCTGGCCGTTGCTGCTCCGGGCCCAGTTGCCATTGCTTTGTGCCTGGGCACTCTAGGCCTGGCTGCCGCTGTTCCAACATTCTGTCCTTTTTTTTTTTTTTTTAAATGCATTTATGTTGCAATGTTGGCTGGTGAGTTGAGTTCTGACTTAGTCTTTGATTTTTCAAGATCTTCTTTGTATTCTTAAGTAATTTTACTATCTTTTGCTCTCACTTGATTTCTTCACATTGAGAACTTTGGTTTCTTCCTCCTTGTTCTGGGAGCTCAGCAGGTTGGCCTGTGGCACCCCTTTGTTCTCCGCGGGCTCCCACGCTGCTCCAGCCTGTTGCCGGGGTCGGCGCTGCCCAGGAAGCAGCCCCCGGCCTTGGCTCCGTTACCCGCGCTCAGAGGTCAATGGCTCAGGGCACCCCCCTCCCCTGGGGGCCCCATCGCCCAGCTCCCTGCCGGTGCCGCCCAGCTGGCTGGTGTCTGGCAGGGGCTCCTGCTCCCTGTCGCATTCCTCCAGTCTGGAGCTTTTTTTTTTCTCTCCTTCCCGCTAGGGGAGTCTAGGATCAGAGTCAACAGACTATCCTCTGCGTGCACGCGACTCTGGGGGCTCCGCTTTTCGCCACTCCCCTGGGATTCCGCCTCACAGCCCCATCTCCCCCTGCCCCAGCCTGGGTCCCCAGGGTCTGGTCCAGGACTGGGGATCAGAGCAGTCCGGACTGAGGCTCAGCGCCGCCGAAGGCTTTGTTTCTTCCCGCTAGGGTAATCCAGCATCAGAGTCAACATTCAGTCCTCTGTGCGCAATGTGCGCACGACTCCGGGGGCCTTGCTTTTCGCTGCTCGCTTGGGATTCCGCCTCACAGCCCCGTCTCCCCCGCCGGAGCCTGGATCCCCAGAGTTTGGCTCATAACTGGGGGTCAGCGCTGCCGGTTCGGGGGTTTAGCCCAGGCTGGGGGTTTTATTTCCTTCCTGCTAGGGAATGCCAGGCAGCACCCAGCCCTCTCCTCCTCTCCGGCTGCGACCGAGCGTGTGCGGGTGCGCAGCATGTCTCCGTACCTTAGGCTTTTTTTCAGCTCCTCTGATTTTCCTTCTGGTTTTCTCTTTCCTTCTTGTTGTAGAATTTTCAGTCAGTCGACTACCTGTAGCTCTGGGCGATGTCCACTCTACATTTTAGTTGTATTCCATTGAAATTGTTGTGTGCTGCTGCGGTTAGGTGTTTACACCCCTCTCTATACCCCTCATAATAATAAAAACATACACAGTCTGGGATTTGTTTCTGATGTAAAAATTTACTAGAGACAATTTTTTTTTCCAACCAGTAAACTGGGAATTCTCACATGTTATTGGAAACAAAATTTTCCCAAATGGTATTACTTAAGATATCTTCAAAACAAGTATATCATGACAATACTATTTTTAGTAATTTTTGCTTGATGCCAAGTTATTTTTGAGGAGAAATTTCTTTTTAAGAATAGTTGAGAAAATCTCATTCCATTAAAAGGAACTCTTAGAAAAAAAAAAAAAAGAACTCTTAGAAAATTTGAAACTAGTGTGTAAGATATACCAATACCTCTTCACCCATAATAAAGGTCCTATAATTCACATAACTTCAGCACTGAAAACCTAAAACAAATAATGCTCTTGACTTACACCAATGGCATTGTGACGATCAATGTAGCTTTCTCTTTGATAAATTTTGCTGTAGTCATTTCAGTATCCACAGATTCTGGAAGATTCAGATGCAATCTGTACTTCTCAGAGACCTCAATCAATAAATCATCCTAAGAATAATAAACCAAGAGAGATTTTGAAAGATAAACATAAGAAAGCATTTATTGCAGAAGCCGGTTTGGCTCAGTGGTAGAGCGTTGGTCTGCGGACTGAAGGGTCCCAGGTTCAATTCCGGGCAAGGGCATGTACATTGGTTGCGGGTACATCCCCAGTGGGGGGTGTGTAATAGGCAGCTGGTCGATGTTTCTCATCAAAGTTTCTAGCTCTCTATCTCTCTCCCTTCCTCTCTGTAAAAAATCAATAAAATATATTAAAAAAACAAAAAAGAAAGCATTTTACTGGTTAAAATGAGTGTTGTTGAATTTCTGTTCCGTTACTGACTCCTATTCCATAAGAAGAGGATCCTAACTTATTGCCATGTGACTTGCAGTGAGCAGTAACGTTCCTGTTGTAAATCCCTGAGCTTTTGAGATTTGTTATTGCTGTTGAATACCTCAAAAGTTTACTGAGCAGTAGCATAAGATGGGTGTTGTCATCTCAAATTATACACGAATTTACTTTGGGGCAGACAAAGCAAACAGCAAGGAAACTAACCAGAGGCTAGGAAGATGGTTAACCTATATTTTATAGTGATAAAGCCCCTATTTAAAACTATCACAATTATTTGGAAGACAGTAAATTTGTGGCGTTAGGTACAGAATTGGTAAAATAAATTTTTGGTGGCATGCATTGGTTTTATGGGCTATGTTTAACAAGATATGACAAAAAGAGATGAACTTAAAGACTAGAATACCTTGACAGAAATGCAACTAATTTTTTTTTCAATTAGTAAAGGATAAAATTGAGGTTAGTTTATTTTATTTTATTTTTACCAATGAAGGCTGTTTAAGACAGCTGAGAGGCAAAGACTAAATCACAAATATTTTACTTTTATTAAAATGTCTACCTGGGTTAAGGTGGACCTCAATAAATCCTTCCATTTGACTTAAATTGGGACAGCTATTAAGTAAAAAAGGACAAGCCGCCAAAACCGGTTTGGCTCAGTGGACAGAGCGTCGGCTTGCGGACTGGAAGGTCTCAAGTTCAATTCCGGTCAAGGGCATGTACATTGGTTGCGGGCACATCCCCAGGAGGCAGCTGGTCGATGTACCTCTCTCATTGATGTTTGTAGCTCTCTATCCCTCTTCCTTCCTCTCTGTGAAAAATCAGTAAAATATATATATATATATAAAAAAAGAAAGAACTCTATAAACTAAATGAGAAAAAGTACTCTTTTTTTTTTTTTTAAAAAAAAGGACAAGCCATTAAAAAATGGACCTGTCTAAAAAAAAAAAAACCTTATTGGGTATAGCACTGTGGAATTAAATAAAATATTACCAGCCTGGACTAAACCTAAATTAAAATAATCTTTGGACCCCAAACATTCTATGGGCATGACGCAGGCTGAGCTAATTGCTCAGCATCTAAGGATGGCATATCTACATCACCCATTCTACATGAACCTCCCAAAGAATGGAGCTGAAAGTAATGGGAAACAATGGGGCTAGGCAATACAGGAATCTGTAATGGCTCTAAGTGAGAACATCCTCCACATGCAGGAAAAGGGACCCTCAAAATAGCTGTCTACCAGGATGTCAGCATTACTGTGCACCAGTAACTGCTGTGGGCCATTTGTGTGTGTGTGTGTGTGTGTGTGTGTGTGTGTGTGTGTGTGTGTGTATATGCAAACTATGATGGCAAAATGCTGTACTTTGGAGTCTGATACTAGAACTGGAGGTGTCTTTTTTTTTTGTATATTTTATTGATTTTTTACAGAGAGGAAGGGAGAGATATAGAAACATCGATTAGCTGCCTCCTGCACACCCCTTACTGAGGATGTGCCCGCAACCAAGGTATATGCCCTTGACCAGAATCGAACCTGGGACCCTTCAGTCCACAGGCTGATGTTCTATCCACTGAGCCAAACCGGTTTCTGGTGGAGGTGTCTTTCTTGGGGAACGATACAAATATTTGTGATGAAGTGAGTGGACTGTGGTAGACTATAGGATTGTTGCCAATTGTTTGAACTCTGAAAAAGGATTAATGTATATCTATCCCTATGACTGCTCTTGAGAATAGTCTTCCCTACCCTATCAATGTAGGGCTTGGCCCAGTGACTTACTTTAGCCAATAGGATGTGAATAAAAGTGACATATGCCATGTCTCTGAGGAAGTTTTAGGATACATTGCATGGTTTGGCCATTTCTATTTTCCCTCTAGCAGGAGAATGAAATAGGTCAGATAGGAATTGCTTCTTCATCTGTTTCTTAAAATGCGTATTATCAAGCAGAGCCCTAGCCAGTTTCACTGAGTGGATAGAGCATTAGCCCAAGGATTGAAGGATCCCAGGTTCCATTCTGGCTAAGGGCACCTATTGCTGTTGCAGGCTGCATCCCCAACCCTGGTTAGGGTGGGTGCATACGGGAGGAACCATGTGTCTCTTTCATCAATGTTTCTCCCCTCCTTCTCACTCTCTCTAAAAAAATCAATGGAAAAATATCCTTGGGTGAGGATTAACAAAAAATAAAATAAAAAATAAAATAAATAAAAAGATTTGTTGAACAGATCAGGCCCACCTGACATGTAACCTGAGCAAATTACTGTAAACTACTGAGATTGTGGAGTTAGCCACTACAGCAAACATAGGGCCTGTTGACTGATACACATTTACAGTAGCATCTATTCAACCTACCTCAGAAACACTAAGGTCACAGAGAGATACTGAATTAATACCAGGTAATTCAACTTTTAATTCAATTTTCAGTGGTTTCTCATTCTCATCTGCCACCATTTTTAATTCATAGGCTGGTCTCTTCATCTCCACCTGGATCTCTGTTCTGGAAATCTCTTCTATCAGGCACCCCTTTTTGCTTGAAACTTGGTCCTTTGGCAGTAAAAGTTGAGGGGAGTGATCTGAATTGCTCAGAGTGCTGCTGCTTATCTGTTCAAGGGTTAGTTCTTTATGGAAAAAAAAAAGGGGAGGGGGAATAAAAATCAGAAAATTAATCAATAACATAAACTACTATCAGTGCTATCAGGCTACTAGTTGCAATATATGTAGTGCTAGCCAAGATGGCAGATAAAGCTGCAGCTAATTGAATTTGGGAATCTTAACAGAATTTTAAATCAAAAAGATTTCAAAGTTTAAAAGTTTGCAGGATTTAAAAATCTTTAAGGACATGCTAATATTCCTAATATCTAATCTTTTTATATTTTAAGTTATTCATCTTTTTAAAATATATTTTATTGATTTTTTACAGAGAGGAAGAGAGATAGAAACATCGACGAGAGAGAAACATCACTCAGCCGCCTCCTGCACACCTCCCCTAGGGATGTGCCAGAAAGCAAGGGGAGCCCTTGACCAGAATAGAACCTGGGACCTTTCAGTCCACAGGCCCATGCTCTATCCACTAAGCCAAACCAGTTTTGGCAAGTTATTCATCTTTTAAATTTGAGATTTCTAGTTTGCAAAATGCACATAGGATACAAAAATTTTAAATCAATATAATTTTCCATCTACATTCATTAACTTACCTTTTCTCATTTTCTCTCTTAAATCTGTGGGGCCAGTTTGGATTCCCATCAGATTTTGTTTCATCCTTTGAATGCTTCCTTTTATTTTAAATTTGGTAATATGGTAAATGTGTGAGAGTGTGAACTGGAGTTGTTCCTCAATGCATTTCATGGCCATGTGTATTAATTGATCTTTTTTCACTTGGTCCTTTTCTGCTGCCTGGAGAACATCAGGATTGTAGGCAACATCGATGACTGTGTAGACATCTGCGTGTGTGAAAAAGAAAAGAAAAAAAGATAGACATTTGTGCATGAGATTCAGAGGGTATGAAATGAAGACAACTTGTTTCACTAATGATATTGTCAGGTAATATATTAAGCCACAATCCTTATAAACCTAGAAAGTATTAATTCTATTCCTATATTTTTCAGAAGCAATAATAAGGATGCTATGTACACAGTTTCAATGAGGGCATTTCTTGGCATTTTATATAGGTTAAAAACAGTTTAGATTATTAGACAAACAGTAATAACAACTTTTAAAATGAGTAGCTCTGTTTTCTTCTAAATATATTTTTGTTGATTTCAAAGAGGAAGTGGGAGACATATATAAACATTAATGAGAGAGAGAATTATTGATCAGCCTCTTTCACACCCCACATTGGGAATTGAGCCTCAACCTGGGATCGAACCACTGAGCCACACTGGCCGGCCAACAGTATTCATTTTTATAAAGGTATATTTATTAGTCATTAGCTACATTATAACCAAATAAAATATTTTACATATAATGTCTTTAACCAAGTAAAATCTAGTTCATGCTATTCCCAATAAAAATATTTAAATGTGTTTTCTATCCCATAATTCTCTGTACCTGATGTTTCAGACATATCTTCTGGCCTGCCAACACTCAGAGGTACTGGATCAGTGGTTGATTGGGGAGCTGGAATCCTTTTCCACTGACATAGGTTGATAAAAAGTGTTTTTTCTTTAGGTTTCTAGAAATCAAATATATTTCAAAATAATATCCTAAAAGCAACACCTCACAGAATTTGAAGAGTGAGAATTTTAGGCTCCAAGTAAGTTATTACTTGTATTAAAACTGTGTTTCAGAAATTATACTGTTAATCTGATTTTCCCAAAGCTCTTCATAAAGAATCCAGTTGCTATTCCCAGAGGAACTGGGAGGAGGAAGGGGGAATTGATCTAAGCAGCTGTTCCATTTTTTTTTTTAACCGTCGGAATTGATCTAAGCAGCTGTTCCATTTTTTTTTAACCGTCTTTCACCACTTTCTTACCCCCATAACCAAATAAATCCTCTTTATTTGAAAAACCTCCAATTCTATGATTCTCTATTAAATCATTACATTATTTTTGTTTTCACTCTATCAGAAAAATGGCCCATTTTGAGATCTCCAAAATATATAAAATATGAATTTCCCATTTTTACTCCTTCAACGCAATCTTCACTACATTTCACTCTCAATTAGAGTGGCAGTTTCCCTCAGGGCTCCAGTAACAACAGCTAAAGGTAAGCTATTCATTCAGAACCTCCGATCCTAGGGCACCAACTCTACGTACCAGGATTCTTGTTTGTAGACAGAGCTGTGGTTCTGGGGCAGCACAAAGCTGTTTGCCCTCTTTCAGCTGCTGTTGAATGAAGCTCTTATAGCTCTCAGGGTTACTTTCAGCCAAATCATCTAGTAGGTTCCAGAACTGAGTAACTTGGGTAAGCAGACCGTTTGAGGATGACTCCATGATTGAGGTGAATAGGCCTCTTAAGTCTGAGGAAAGACATGACTTAAGTAAAAATAATGTGTGTAACTATAATTCATTTCTTCTTTTGGGAAAGGAGGACCAGGTCAGGAATAATTTTGAAGTTAGCTGTTTCTAAAACACTGTAGATCGGCACCACTTTATCTTCTCCTTATTCTTGAATTATCTAGTATCACTTCCTAAATTCTCAAGCTGTCCTCTCAGATAATAAGGCCTTGCCTCCCCTAGACCCTCACCTGGCCTGAGGGGCCAGAGTACTCATTTAAGTCTGTGCTTCCAGGTCGTTTCCTTTTTCCAACACCTGGCTTTGGATGACTGGTGCCCTAACCAGCCTGGAAATTGCCAGACTTCCTAAATCCTCAGCATAGCTTAGTAGTTAAAAGCATGGACTTGTGCTGGCTGGTGTGCCTCAGTTGGCTGAGCGGTGTCCCATGCACCAAAAGGTTGCAGGGTCCTTGCTGGTTTGGCTCAGTGGATAGAGCCTCCGCCTGTGGAGTGAAGGGTCCCGGGTTCAATTCCAGTCAAAGGCCACATGCCCAGGTTGCTGGCTTGATCCCCTGTAGGGGGCGTGCAGGAGGCAGCCCATTAATGAATCTATCTCTCCTCCCAACCTCTCTGAAATAAATTAAAAAATGTATTTTTAAAAATAGATTTTATTAATTTTTACAGAGAGGAAGGGAGAGGGATAGAGAGTTAGAAACATTGATCAGCTGCCTCCTGCACACATCGAGGGGTGAGTGAGTGGTCAGGGCAATAAAAATATATCTTAAAAAAAACTCTCAAAAAAACCCCCCAAGCCGAAACCGGTTTGGCTCAATGGATAGAGCGTCGGCTTGGGGACGGAAAGGTCCCGGGTTCGATTCTGGTCAAGGGCATGTACCTTGGTTGCAGGCATATCCCCAGTAGGGGGTGTGCAAGAGGCAGCTGATGACTCTCTCTCATCGATGTTTCTAACTCTTTATCTCTCTACCTTCCTCTCTGTACAAAATCAATAAAATATATTTTTTAAAAAACCCCAAAAAACAAAACAAAACAAAAAAAACCAAAAAGGTTGCAGGTTCGATTCTCCATCAGTACACATGCAGGAGGCAGCTGATAAATATTTCTCTCTCACATCGATGGTTCTCTCCCTCCTTCCTGTCTCTCTGAAATCAATAAAAACATTAAAAAAAAAAAAAAAGCATGGACTCTGCTACATTCCAATCTTAGCTCTACCAACCTACTGGCTGTGTGACTATGAGCAATTAATTTATGTTTGCGCCTCAGTTTATTCTCCTCAAAATGAAGACGACAATACCAATCTCCTGGGGTTACGTGAAGATGGAGAGGATGGGACTCTCGGTCAACACCACATGACAGTGATAACATCCTCTCTGACTCCAGACAAGTTCCCTCGCACCTTCTCCCCCACTGGAAGGAGCCCCAGGGCACCCACAGAATGAGGAAGCGGAGGTTTGGGTTCTTTGAAAGTTACATTAGGGTTAGAATCTAAGGGGGAAACTTAACTAATGGACAGCCATTCCGGAGGTCTGCGAACCCACCTCTTTCGTTTCCGGACAAACCGCGACGCCTGTTACCACGGCAACCAGCCTGGGTAGCACCTAATGGAGTCCGGAGAGCCCCAGGCAGAAAGTCTTCCCACTTCCAGTTCCGGGCTCTCCCTGCTCCGCGGCAGCCTCGCTTCTCGGCTGAGCCCGACCCCCCTTTCCAGAAAGGCGCCCGCCGCCCTCCTGCACCGGGGGACCCCTGGAGGGTCCTGGAAACCCTCCCTGCGGACGCCTCCGAGCGCTCTGTTGGTGGGAAGGATTTCTCGGGAGCACGACTTCCGGCCAGGAAGGGAAGATCGCTCCCCTTCCTCCCAGTCCGCTTCCTCCCCCACCCCCGCCACGCGAGGCCGCGGCGCACGGTATGGGTGTGTTTGTGTGTGTCTGTGCGGGGCGGGCGTGTGGCGGGCGGGCTACCGGGGGCTTCTCGGCCGCCGGGGAGCGGGTCCCGGTGACAAAGATGGGGGTGTCGTCTCTGTCTTCCACTGGGAAGCCTCAGCTCCCCCTTCAGGCACTTTAGATACTTCTCGGGGCCCGGTCCAAAGTGTCCCCCCCGCCCCCATTGGGAGCGAAACCCGATCCCCGGGCCCATCCCCGAGGAGCGTGAGCGGGGGATGCCCGGCCACCCTGGGCCCGGCCTCCTCGCCGGCGCGGCCGCGGGGCTCCGGCCGCACAGGTCCCGGCGCGGGTCCGGCCCGGGGCGAGGGCCGCCGGGGCCTGGGGCCCTGGCGAGGGCAGATTAACCGGTGGGAAGGCTGCGTTTTCACGAAGGACTCGGGTGAAGCTGCACAGCTGCCTTTGAGCACTGACTCCTTGGCTTCCTGGGTCGGAGGAGAGCTTGTAATGGAGTGGTTCCTCGTCTCACACTAACAAGATGCCCGATTTCCTCAGGATCGAGGGGTGAGTGAGCGGTGGGGTGGTTGCACAAAGCCCCTGCTAGCTAGCTACACGGTGACTAGCCCTGTCGTGTATTTTTTTTTTTTTTTTTTGGAGGCTTCTGTACAAAATAGAAAATAAGGTTCTCCCGAATGGAGAAATTTAGGGCATCTCTGTGTTTGATGTTTTTGTTTCTGTTGTTATTCGTGGCCCCCGATGCTCTCAAATCCAGATGATTGCTTCATCGCAAACTAACTTTGAGGTTGCAGAGTTGATTTTTAACCTGGACCTTGTTTGCCTTGGACTATGTGGCCTGAGATAAGTTACGGCTTTTAGGGAATTTTATCTACTAATTAGGAATGAAGATACTCACCTATTTTGAGGAGTAAATAGTGTCATTTCAAGGAATTCCATTGTACACTATCTCCTTTCATCCTAATATTTCTGTGATCAGGAATTTCCCCTTTTAATGCTGAAGAAAAAACTATTACCCAAGACTTCTGAGATCTAAGTGATCTTTTCTTTGCCTCATGCTTCTTTATACTATTGTAATAAAATATAAGGCAATAAAGGACATTTTTATTTTTAAATATTTGTTGATTCATTTCAGATTGAAGAATGTCCCGGGTTCCACTGGGGAAAGTCCTCCTAAGGAATGTCATCCGGCATACAGATGCTCACAATAAGGTGAGAGGTACAACCTACTTCTCGGAAAACACAGATATTTACATTGCGACTCATTAACAGTAGCAAAATTACAGTTATGAAGTCGCAACGAAAATAATTTTATGGTTGGGAGTCACCACAACATGAGGAACTGTATTAAAGGGTCACAGCATTAGAAAGGTTGAGAACCACTGCTGTACAGACAGAAAACCATGTACTAACGTATGGCAATAAGAAAGTGCTTGAAGCACTGGGGACATGGCAAGAAATTGTGTGCAACCAGAAAGTAGTGAATGTGGGGGCTAGTGAAGATGAGGCCAGTGTGGATTATGATGTTAGATTATATATTTTTTCTCTCTAGGCAATACCAAAACCATCAAATATATATATTTTTAATTTTTAAAATGTTTTTATTGATTTCAGAGAAAGGAAGGGAGAGGGAGAGCTAAAAACATTGATGGGAAACATGGTTGGCCTGACTCTTGCACGTCTCCTACTGGAGATTGAGCCTGCAACTTGGGCATGTGCCCTGACTGGGAATTGAACAGGTGACCTGGTGCATGGGACAATGCTCAACTGAGACATACTTGCTGGGAAACCAGTTAAAAAAAAACAAATATTTTTAAACTGAGTGTGACTTGATTATATTTTAGAAAGATGATTTTTTAATTGGATAGGTGATAGATCAAATGGGGTGAGCAGTAGAGAGACCAGTTAGGAAGCAATTGCATTGGTCCAGGTGAGAGATGATGAGGGGGCGGGAGTTCACATGAAAGCAGTGGCAGTAGGGATGAAGATGAGGAATTTAGGAGGCAGGACCCAAAGAACTTGGTGACTGACTGGATGGTGGCGATAATCACAGAATCAAATATTACTGTCTTGTTGAATGATGATAGGAATCAAAAGAAAGGGGCATAATTAGTTTTGAAGATGTTGATGGTGAAGAGCTTATAGGATGTCTAAACAGTTGGAAATTCCGACTTGGAGCAAAGGAGAAATGTTGAGACTTGGTTTGGGGATTGTTGGTATGTAGGAAATGACAGAGGTCAGGAGAGTAGATGAGGTCACCTAGGAGGACACATATAATGAAAGGAGGGCCACGGGCCCTTGTTTGGTTTTCTTTGGTGAACTGTATAGTTCCTAGTTTGGTCTTAAAAGGTATTACTGTAATGTAACCTGATAATTTGATTATGAGTGAGGTTATAACCGTTATCTAAGCAGCCTCTGCAATTGCATTAAACCACCCCTAGTTGAATGGTGAACTTAGATTTGTAAGTGGTGGCTAAAAAGATAATCTAGCACAGATTTAACAAAATATAGGAGGATTTATTTATCATTATTTTAAAAATATTTTAGGGTTTTTATTTATTTTAATATATTTTATTGATTTTTTACAGAGAGGAAGGGAGAGGGATAGAGAGTTAGAAACATCGATGAGAATCATCAATCAGCAGCCTCTTGCACATCCCCTACTGGGCATATGCCCGCAACCAAGGTACACGCCCTTGACCAGAATCAAACCTGGGACCCTTCAGTCCACAGGCCAACACTCTATCCACTGAGCCAAACCAGTTAGGGCTTATTTATTATTATTATTTTTAATCCTCACCCGAGGATATTTTTCTATTGATTTTCAGAGAGAGTGGAAGAGAGAAAGAGAGAAATATCAATGTGAGAGAAATATATCGATTGGTTGCCTCCTGTATGTACCCTGACCAGGGCCTGAGTCAGGGAGGAGCTGTAGCCAAGGTACATGCCCTTGAATGAAATTAAACCTGGGACCCTTCGATCCGCAGGGCATTGCTCTATCCATTGAGCCAAGCCAGCTAAGGCAATAGGAGGATTTAGAAATAAAACGTACTCTTTATTTTTTGGTTATTTGTAATCTGATTCTCTAGAAATTCCCTAGCAATTCTCAACATCTTTTTATTTTGTTTTTTAATAAAAATTAGAATGTGTTGTGAAAGCCCTGAAAGTTTAAAGACCTGTCCTTACTAGCTTTTTGACTTTGGTAAAATTTCTGAGCTTTTGTTTTTTCTCAGGATATAATAATGGCATCTTGCTTTGCTTTCCTCGTAAGATTGTTTAAGGTTCAATTGAGATGATACATTTAAAATGATAAAACATTTTATTTTTTATTTTTATTTTATTTTTATTTTTTAAAATATATTTTATTGATTTTTTACAGAGAGGAAGAGAGAGAGATAGTTAGAAACATCGATGAGAGAGAATCATCAATCAGCTGCCTCCTGCACACCTCCTACTGGGGATATGCCCACCACCAAGGTACATGCCCTTGACCGGAATCAAACCTGGGACCTTTCAGTCTGCAGGTCGACGCTCTATCCACTGAGCCAAACCGGTTTCAGCTGATAAAACATTTTAGAAACGTAAGAGATTATCATTTGGTAAATGCAACATAATTACATAATTGATAAGGTTCTAAGCGTGTCTATGCAAGGGTTAAAAAGTTTGCCGGGACTGGTTTGGCTCAATGGATAGAGCGTCGGCTTGGGGACTGGTTTGGCTCAATGGATAGAGCGTCGGCTTGGGGACTGAAGGGTCCCAGGTTCGATTCCTGTCAAGGGCATGTGCCTTGGTTGCGGGCATATCCCTAGTGGGGGGTGTGCAAGAGGCGGCTGATCAATGACTCTCTCTCACTGATGTTTCTGACTCTCTATCTCTCTCCCTTCCTCTCTGTATAAAATCAATAAAATATATTTAAAAAAAAAAAAAAAAGTTTGTTGCAGCCCTAACCAATTTGGCTCAGTGGATAAAGCATTGGTCTGTGGACTGAAAGGTCCCAGGTTTGATTCTGATTAAGGGGTGTGCAGGAGGCAGCTGATTGATGTTTCTCTCTCATCCATTTTTCAAACTCTATCTTTCTCCCTTTCTCTATATAAAAAAATCAATAAAACATATATTAAAAAAAAAAAGAATCAACGAACTTTCTAAAAAAAATTTTTTTTTGTTTCTGCAGAATTCTTCATATTTGAGATTTACTGGGTCAGCTTGTTCAACCACATTGAGAAATCATAATGAATTTCCCAGGATCTTGATCATAACCCAGTCTGTAATCCCATAATTAGTGTAGACTTTATTTTTAGTTACTTTTTTGTGATGTAAAGTGTTATTTTCAGTAACTTATTTTGATCTCTTTCTTTTCTTTTTTTTAAAAAAACCTAGATTCAGGAGGAATCAGATATGTGGAAAATAAGAGAACTGGAGAAACAGATGGAAGATGCTTATCGGGGCCACAAAAGGAAAATGTTGCCCAGCAGTTCAAGGTGAAGTTGAAGCTCTGAGAACCAAAATAATACCCATCTTCTTCAAAATCATCAATATTAGTTTAAAATCATTTTGGTATGCTAAAGATACATGGTTCAGTTTTGTGAGTCCTTAAGCTTTCATTCCCTCTTTCATAAACCTAGACCCAAGTATAAAGGTAATGGCTATAACGCATATGATCCTACTTTTTTTTTTTTTTTTTTTAAATATATTTTATTGAATTTTACAGAGAGAAAGGGAGAGGGATAGAGAGCTAAAACATTGATGAAAGAGAAACATCGACCAGCTGCTTCCTGCACACCCCCTACTGGGGATATGCTCGCAACCAAGGTACATGCCCTTGACCGGAATCGAACCTGGGACCCTTCAGTCCCCAGGCTGACACAATCTACTGAGCCAAACCGGTTTTGGCCAATCCTACTCTGTGTACTTATTTGCAATAGAGAATTTTAAAAGTCTTATCTTGAACAATTGTAAACATTAAGGATTCTGTGGATTCTGACCTTTATCTGATGGCTTTTAATCTTAGATTTTCTATTTGTATCTTATGGTTGCTTAGCTGATCATATATTTCTGTTTCTTATTAATCTTTCATTCTCTCAGCCTTTTTTAATTTTTAAAGTTTTTTCTCTCAGCCTCTTTTTTAAAATATATTTTATTGATTTTTTACAGAGAGGAAGGGAGAAGAATAGAGAGTTAGAAACAACAGTGAGAGAAACATCAATCAGCTGCCTACACATACACATCCCCCACTGGGGATGTGCCCGAAACCAAGGTACATGCCCTTGATCAGAATCGAATGGGACCTTTCAGTCTGCAGGCCAATGCTCTATCCACTGAGCCAAACTGGTTTTGGCACTCTCAGCCTCTTCTTTACTCCATCTACTCACTATCTTCACCAAATTATAGTCTTTTACATTATCTTTTTATTAGAGTGTAAATATAAGGAATTATGCAGGCTTAGTGGTATAGGAATGTCTGAGTATTTCAAGTATTTTTGGGCTCTTTAGTATACAGCTATATGTGTGAAAAATAACTCAAAGTAGTAATGCTGATTCTAAAGCCACCAGGGGAATAGTTAACACATTGTGAATGGATCATGAGAATTCTCGTGTTTTCTGTTCTAAGGCTTGTGACCAGTGACAATATTAACCTGTTAACCGAGCAGGACCTATAAATACGTCAAACATAAACACTATCGGGAACGGGTAGGACATATGAATACGTCCTTGAAATATATGTTGCGCCCCAAGAGGGATAGTATATATTTTTTGTAATCTTTATAATTGTTTGTAAAATTTATAATCTTTTATATTTTATTGATATTTTACAGAGAGGAAGAGAGAGGGATAGAGAGTTAGAAACATTGATGAGAACCATCGATCAGCTGCCTCTTGCACACCCCCTAGTGGGGATGCGGCCGCAACCAAGGTACATGCCTCTGACTGGAATCGAACCTGGGACCTTTTATTTTTTATTTTATTTTTATTTATTTATTTATTTTAAATATTTTATTTTTTATTTTTTTTAATATATTTTATTGATTTTGTACAGAGAGGAAGGGAGAGAGATAGAAAGCTAGAAACATCGATGAGAGAGAGTCATCGATCAGCTGCCTCTTGCACACCCCCTACTGGGGATAGCCCGCAACCAAGGTACATGCCCTTGACCGGAATCGAACCCGGGTCCCTTCAGTCCCCAAGCCGATGCTCTATCCATTGAGCCAAACCGGTCTCGGCGAACCTGGGACTCTTTAGTCCGCAGGCCGATGCTCTATCCACTGAGCCAAACCAGTTTCGGCTATAATTTTTTAATTCGATTTTTCCATTTTTTTGTTGGTATTCTTTTCTATTTGTTTGTAATTTTGTATTTTCCTTTGTGCTTTATATATAAATAAACGGGAAAAAATATTTCATTTATTTTAATTAAGTATAAATAAAAAAAATAATATAAAATTACGTCCGCTGGGCATGACGTACTGACACGTCCTAGTGAAAGAGTATGCGCCCATTGTACATTGCGTAATTAAAAAGGGAACTTCCCGGTTAACAGGTTAAAAAGATATTAGTTTGTAAGAACATATAATTATTTTAATAACTTCAAAATGCAATGTATTTAATTTTAAAGTGTACCTTTAACATTTATGTAAAACATTTTTTGTACTGGTTCAATAGAAACTTACCCTGGAAATAAAACTACTGGTCCGCAGTGTGTTAAAGTGAGATATTTCAGGAGAGAGTGTACCCGCAGAGTATGTGGACTTTGGTGTATGACTGGCTTTTTGTAAATGGCTTTAGACAAGAAAGTATATAGAGTATCTGAGGTAAAGAAAGTTTCAACAAAAAATATATTTTCAGTCTGTTTTTTCTCTGATACTTCTTTGAGAATTTACAAGTACTGTTGTGAAGAACAAAATATTGTTGTTGTTTTTTTCATTAATCCTCACCCCAAGGATATTTTCCCATTGATTTTCATTGAGTAGGAGGGTGGGGGAGAGAGACACAGAGAGAAACATCAATGTGAGAGAGACACATTGATTGGTTGCGTCCCCCACACGCCCCAACCAATGCTGAGGATCGAACCTGCAATTGAGGTACTTGCCTTTGACCAGAATCAAACCTGCCACCCTTGTCTGTGGGACAATGCTCTAACCAACCAGGGCCAAAATATTGTTATTTTTTGAAAAAACTAAAAAAAAAAAAAACTAAAAAAAAAAAAGATTCAGAGGAAGAGAGATGGGGGGGGGACGGGGAGAGAGAAACAACAGTGATGAGAGAGAATCATTGATCGGCTTCCTCCTGCACGTCCACTGCTAGGGCTTGAGCCTACAACCTGGGCATGTGCCCTTGACTGGAATCGAACCCCGGACCCTTCAATCTGCAAACTATCTTGGTGAATAAATCTTCAAAGATAATCTCTTTAAGGGCAGGGATTCTGATAGTCTCATTTGCATTATATTCTCAGTAGCTAGAACATACCTGACACATAGGAATCCTTAAATATTTTTGATAACCAATTAGCTAGCTTTAGTGACTGGTTAGTGGATATTGTAAGTATGGGCTGAATCAGTGGTTTTCAACTGATTTTCTACCCCAGTGTACTCATGGGCAAGGACTTATTCCCATTGTTACTGTGACTTCACCACAGCAAGTTGCTGGTTTTCCCGGAAGGGAGTGTATGTAGAATTTAGGATAGTTTGCAGTGGCCCCAGCTGTGACTATGCTTTGTTTCCCACTTTGCTTGTCTTCCTAGTTGAGTGAGCTCTAGCGTGCCACAGTCCAGAAGTTGTTTCCTTTATATTCTTCAATAGGGTGGGTAATAACGGTCAGATTTTAATTGGACAACTGTACAAATTTACAGCGAGGAATAGATAGTCTTTTTTACATGATTTAATAAAACATTAAATATCAGGTGGTTTTGTTCTCTCTCTTAGCTTGTTCAATGAGTTTTATGCATGATGTTCCATAAAGTAACTTTATATATTGTTTCCAAATCTAAAAATCCTTCTGTTTCCTCATATAGCCGGATGCGTAGTGATGGTTTTGATGAAGAAAGTCAAAGAGACAATTGGAGGCCAAGAAATGAAATTTCTGAGGCACTGGAAGATGATTTTCTTAAGGCTAAATCCTGGAACAAGAAGTTATATGATTATGAAGCTAACATGCCAGACAGGTTTGTGACTAAATTCTTGTGGCCATTAGTAATATTTGGCATGAGAATGTGAACTTTTTTTAAAAAATATATATTTTATTGATTTTACAGAGAGGGATAATTAGAAACGTCAATGAGAGAGAAATATCGACCAGCTGCCTCTTGCACACCCCCTACTGGGGATGTGCCCGCAACCAAGGTACATGCCCTTGACCGGAATCGAACCCAGAACCTTTCAGTCTGCAGGCCGACGCTCTATCCACTGAGCCAAACCAGTCTCGGCAAGAATGTGAACTTTTAAAAACTTAATTATCTCTTCAAAAACTTGTACACAAATGTTCACAGCATAATTATTCAGTGTGGCTAAAAAAATGGAAACCCAAATGTCTATTAGCTGATGAATGAATAAACCAATTGTGGTATGTGGAACGGTAATGGAATGTTACCTGGCAGTAAAAGGCATAAAGTACTGATAGCATGTTACAATATGGATGAACCTCGAAAACATGGTAGGTGAAAGGAGCCAGGCATAAAAGGCCATTTGGTATATGATCCTGTTTATATATGTCTAGAATAGGCAAATCCTTAGAGTCAGAAAGTAGATAAGTGGTTGCCATGAGCTACAGGAGAGGGAGGAATGGAGAGTGACTGCTAATGCAGTTTCTTTCTGGGGTGATGGAAATGTTCTGAAGTAAGGTAGTGGTGGTGGTTGCACAACTCTGAATATACTAAAAGCCACTGACTTGGACACCTTAATAGGGTGATGTTTATGAATTATATTCCAGTTGCTATTATTTAAAAAAATATATATTTCATTGATTTTTTACAGAGAGGAAGGGAGAGGAAGAGAGAGTTAGAAACATCAATGAGAGAGAAACATCAGTCAGCTGCCTCCTGCACACCTTCTGGGGATGTGCCCGAAATCAAGGTACATGCTCTTGGACTGGAATAGAACCTGGGACCTTTCAGTCCACAGGCCAATGGTCTATCCACTGAGCCAAACTGGTTAGGGCATTTTATTTATTTATTTTAAAAATATATTTTATTGATTTTTTACAGAGAGGAAGAGAGAGGGATAGAGAACTAGAAACATCGGTGAGAGAGAATCATCGATCAGCTGCCTCCTGCACCCCCCCCCCCCAACCCCCACTGGGGATGTGCCCGAAACCAAGGTACATGCCCTTGACCAGAATTGAACCTGGACCTTTCAGTTCGCAGGCCAATGCTCTGTCCACTGAGCCAAACCGGTTTTGGCAGCTTAGGGCATTTAAAAAAAATATATTTTTATTTATTTCAGAGAGAAAGGGAGAGGGAGATAGAAGCATCAATGATGAGAATCATTGATCAGTTGCCTCCTGCACACCCCCTCCTGGGGATCGAGCCTGGTCCCTTGGCATGTACTGTTGACCAGAATCGAACCTGGGACCCTTCAGTTCACTTGCCGACACTCTATCCACTGAGCCAAACCAGCCAGAACTTGGTATTTTTTTTTTAAATTGTACCAATATATTATAGACAACAATATGTTATGAAGTGTTTTTAGAGAAGCAGATTATAAGTTTTATAAAGAAAGAGAATGGCAGGTTTTCTTACAAATGGACAGAGGAATTATTTGTGCTTGAATAATAGTGTGCAGCACAGAAAAATAGCCAACTAAGTGTACTGGGCCTTGTGGGGTTGGCTTTACCATATCTCTCTTTTTTGTTTTGTTTTATTCTGTGTGTATGTCTGTGTGTGCATACATTCCTAAGTCTGTCTAATTTAATTTTCAAAAACATATGCACTGCTTTAACGATATGTTTAATAAAATGTCATCTTACAGATGGGGTCACAGTGGTTATAAAGAGTTATACCCTGAAGAATTTGAAACAGACAGGTAAGACAAATAGGTTTACTGGGGGGAAAAAGTTAGAAACTAAGCTTAGTAGTACGTCTGAACTGTAAATTAGTTCAAGTGCAGTTTTTACAAAACATGTAACATTTGCCATTAAAAATGTAACCAAAGAATCATCGGCAATTCAGATGGAAGATGATAGGTATTTTGCCTTTCCGTGAATGATGTTTGACATATCTATAGCACTTGTTTTTTTCTTAATTTCTAGTTGGTACTTTTTTTTTTTTAAAACATTTCTTTTTTTTTCTTTAATGTATTTTATTGATTTTTCTTACAGAGAGGAAGGGCGAGAGATAGAGAGCTAGAAACGTTGATGAGAGAGAAACTTCGACCAGCTGCCTCCTGCACACCCCCTACCGGGGATGTGCCGCAACCAATGTACTGTACATGCCCTTGAACCTGGCACCCTTCTGCTGAGCCAAACCAGCTTCGGCGCACTTTTTAAAAAAAATATGTTTTTGTTGATTTGAGAGAGAGGAAGGGAAAGGAGAGGAATAACCATCAGCTGCCTCCTGCATGTCCTGTATTGGGGATCAAGCCTGCAACCCTAGGCACTGCCCTGACTGGGAATCTGATAACCTCTTCCTGCATGAGAGGGCCCCCAACCAATTGAGTCACACTGGCCAGGACTATATATAGCACTTAGGTCTTTATATTAGAAGTGTCCCATACAGTAATTCAGTATAGCAGATGAGAATTTTTTTCAAAATAAAAATTCTTTAAAAAAATATTTTTTTTATTGATTTTTTACAGAGAGGAAGGGAGAGGCATAGAAAGCTAGAAACATCGATGAGAGAGAAACATCGATCAGCTGCCTCCTGCACACCCCCCATTGGGAATGTGCCCGCAACCAAGGTACATACATGCCCTTGACCGGAAACGAACCTGGGACCTTTCAGTCCGCAGACTGACGCTCTATCCACTGAGCCAAACCGATTTTGGCTCAAATTAAAAATTCTTATATAATTTTAAACCAAACAGTTTCCTACCTGTCAGATTGGCAAAAATATATATATTTTTTATAATGCCCAGTGTTGCTAACACAAGTGATAAGCAGATCTTAATATACTTTTTTTTCCTGAGTCTATTTCTTTTTAATGATTTTAGTGTTGTTTTACAGATTAGAATTTTTATGTTCATTTTAAAGATGAGGAAATAAAAACTCAGTTTTCAAGTCTCAGAATAACCTTATGTCAAAGCTGTTTTAAAATTTAGATGTTAACCCTAACTTTCTATCTAGAATGCAGAATATTAAAATGGAAATATTTTTGTTTCTTTTTTATTAGTGATCATCAAGATATTACCAATGGAAAAAAAAGATCTCCCCAGGAAAAATCATCTACCCATGAATCTCACAAACACAAGAAATCAAAGAAATCCCACAAAAAAAAGCAGAAAAAGAAGTCACATAAAAAACAGAAGAAAAGCAAAAAAGAAATCACAGATATAACAGCAGATTCCTCAAACGAGTTCTCAGAAGAAACTGGGGCTTCTAGCGCCAGGAAACAACCACATAAGCGTAAGAAAAAATCAAGGAAAAAGTCTCTGAAAAAGACTCCTCTAGTTTTAGAGGCAGAAAGTGACACTTCTCAGTCTGATGATTCAGCATCCAGCAGTTCTGAGGAAAGAGACACTAAGAAAACCAAAAGGGAAAAGAAAGATAAAGTCAGTGTTCCTGTAGTTAGCAATGAAATGCAGGAGAGGACAAAAACAAACAAACGCACAAATTGGAAAGTGGCCACAGATGAAAGGTCTGCTGACAGTTCGGAGGATGACTAAGTGAGAAACAGTCTTCAGTTCCCACTTACTTGGATTTTGACAGCTCTTGCATCTTGGGGATTTGCTGACTCTCGTGTACACAGGGGGCCTGAGGGAGGAGTTGTCCTGTGCCATCTGTGTACATTCTGACAGACTTGTCTTCTATTTTGGCCTGTTAAACTTGATCCTTTTATTGTTAATAGGGAATCTGGTATTTTGTTATGAAGTTTTCTTGAAGAGATTATTTTTTGCAGTTAATTACATTTAGTCTAGAGTGTATATACAGCAAATTAAAGGACCCAGGAAGCAGAATCCAGTAATGACCTGGGTATGCCAATTAGGATGTTGAGTTTGGGGAAAGCGAAGGCTGGGATCACGAGGTAGATTGGAACCAGTGCTGTGCAGAATGTATATAAGGGAACATTGAGTTGCTCTTGTTTGGTTTATATCACAGGTGCCACTTGACTTTGTCTTAGCCTTGGTGCTTTGATCTTTCTGTATTTTGGCCCCATTGGTCTGGTCGTTTAGTGGGGAAATGAACATAAGAAAAAACATTTTATCTTAAACACCCATAGACAGCTGTTATCAGCAGAGACTAGGGTTTTCTGTTAAATTTTCCTGCTGGACAGGGATTGTAGCTATACTCATATACCCATAAACATGGTAATTGGCTAGTAAAATTTTTAATTCTTTATGGGTAGTAAATTGTTTTGTAGTTCCAATGCTGTATATTGCCTAAATGGACTTGGGTTCAAATATTTCTTTTAGGCAAGTCCTTAACAAATGGGGAAGAATAAGTTTTTTCATGCTAATGATGCTCTGAATGGGCTTCAGGGCATCTGGCATTTAAACGTCTTCCTTGTTCATTTTGAAACCTGTTAATGAGCTTTAGATTTTCCCTGAAACTAGGCTGAATCAAATCCAAAATGAAAGACTTCTCAGGGACATATCTACTTCTTTTTCAGCCTGCCTTCGGATTAAAGCACCAAGCAGAGACCATGTTATTTCCTTTTGCTATATGTGTTAATTCCTACTATGTTAATTCCTAAGAAATCAAAATAACACTGAAAGACAAGTTAATTTTTCATTATGGCAGAAGATCAAGTGACATTGTTTTTCCTGTTTGTCACTTCATGGGCTGAGTAAAAAGCTTGAAAACTCACTTGTCTTGATTCTGCCTCTAATTGGTTATGTGGTCTGGAGTAGGTAAGTTAAACTCTCTGGCCTTGCTTTGTACCATGTGTAATACACAGATGCTTCATGGTGATATGACATTAGAGGACACCAGCAATAGGATATAACTATGACATCACTCCATGAGGTGGTAAATTTTATAGTTCTGCTAAATTTGTTCTTTACAGATTTCTAACGGAATGTTTGATCATGAAGTACATGGTTGGCTAGAGGGTCCCGATCCCAATTACAAGCAGGTGCTACCTTTGCGGCTATTTATTTGAAATATTAACACTTTGGTATTCAACTGTCATTGTTCAATGGTATATATTTTTACCTTTGGGATTAGTGGGGACCCAAGGGAGGAAGAGCAGTCTATAATTACTACCTCTTTACCTAAAGCAGTTTTGTTCTTGGAGCAAGTGAAATCTCTGTTGGAGGAAGTGTTCACTCCCCCCCCCCCCCCCTTTAAACATTGTTTCTGTGTTATAAAAGTACCGAGTCTCAGCACAGACTCAGGAGAATGGGTGAGTGGGACAAGGCATCTCCAGGAAGTTGGTTCTGTTTGGGTCTTGACCTTTCCCATAGTAGTAGACCTCTCTTTCCCAATGAATACACACCTTGCTTGTTTTGTTTTTTTGCCATGTTTACCTTTTCTTGGTCATGTATAAGCAATAAAGCTGTTTTCTGTTCTTCACCTTTCTCAACCCTAAATTTTCTTCTATGCCTAAGACTAAGGCTGATGTTTCTTCCAGCCACCTGAAATACCATTTGCACTACTAGCCCTGAAACATTTAGTCCTAGTGTTTCTGCCAATCGGAGATCTTATTAAATCCTAAAATGGGATTTTAAAAATAGAATCGGAGAACTCAAATTTATTGAATAATTGTTGTGATACAATGTGGAGTTTCTGATTCTAAATAAATAAATTTCACTTGAATTTTCAATCTGTCACTTTTTAGCACCAACAGGGTAGTAGCCTGAAGTTGACCTGACAGTGGGTTGAGAACTTTCCCTCATTGTCCCTTCAATCTGCTTACTAACAAGTCCTTTGCTGCTTCTGTCATCTCCTAGGGAACGTTCTACTGCCCTCCTTTCTGTACAATCTGGGCAAAACGGCTCGTGATGGCGAGAGTAGTGTCAATGAAGCGGTCCACACAGCTAGAGAGACAATTTTCAGTACGAGAGTCTAGGCGATTCCCTGGCTTCTCCACACATTTATCCCAACACAGCTCCATGAAGTGGTGCACCTAAGAGGACAGAAAAGTAGTAACAATTAGGGTCTGTTTATAGGCCTACCTGCCAATTTTCCCGTTTTCACTTTCTGTCACCTAATAATAACATTCTTTCAATTAACAAACCATGGGCTCTCCTCTTTCCTCCCTCCTTACTCTGTCCCCAGTATGGTCCAGATCCTCAGCCCTACATTGCAACAATTCTTTTATCCTCTCTTCTATTTTTCTCTTCAGTAATTACAAAATATTTTCCATCAAGTCACCTGTGTTTGCTTAATCATCAATTTCTCCTGTTAGTTTCTCAGGGCACTCCCTTATTTAACCCCAACCCATACGGGTTCAATGAGGCCCACACAGCATACTCAACTTGACTTTTTTTGTAGTTAATCCTTACCTGACGCCTGGAAGTGGGGGTTGCCTCCCCACTACTCCCAAATGGGTTGGGGATCAAACTTACAACCCAGATACCAGGAATTAAACCTTCTGTGTGAGGGCTGAGGCTCTGAGCCACACTGGCTAAGGCTAAACTTGACTCTTAATAATATCAATATTCTGCAAGGCCCTCCCTACAGATTTTACCAATTCTTCAAAAACAGTCTATTATTTCCTACTTGTGTCAAGTCCTCAATCAGAATGTAAATTTTCGGGCAGGATTAATTATCTTTTAAAAAATATATGTATTTTATTTATTTTTTACAGAGAGGAACAGAGTTAGAAACATTGATGAGAGAGAAACATCTATCAGCTGCCTCCTGCATACCCCCTACTGGGGATGTGCCCACAACCAAGGTGTATGCCCTTGACCATAATCAAACCTGGGACCCTTCAGTCCACAGGTCGACGCTCTATCCACTGAGCCAAATCGGCTAGGGCAATTATCTTAAAAAAAAAATACAAACCCCAAGCTAGCACCAGTGTAAGCTGAGAAAGTATTGTACCAATGAATTCCCCAAACCACTGTTCCCATATCATTCTAAACCTATCCCTTAAAGAATAGTTCTTAACCTTTTTGAGAATCCAATGACGCTTATGGATCCACTCTCCAGAGAAATGCACATACAGGCACAGAAAATGTACGCACTTTCATAATGTTCAGGGCTCAAAAGATTTCTAACCAGGGGTGGGGTGGGGTGGGGTGGTGGGGACACCCGGCGGGGAGGAAGAGAAAAATACCATTTACCAAGGGTTCACTATTTGGGGAGGCTGAGAGCTAGGCACTCTCAATCCTTTTTGCGGTAATAAAAGATGACTTCGTTTAAGTGGCGCGGTAGGCTAGGGAACCAGCCCTACGTAACGCAGCTATGGAGGCACCGTGCCGGGGGTTCCATGCCGAAAGAGCTCCAAAGCGCTGTTGTAAACTGTAAACAGTCTAGGCTACTTCAGCCCCCCAACGCCCCAATAATGTTCTACCGCTCTATCGTTCTCAAGTACGTTATCCCACAAGGATTGTGAGGATCAGATGGGATAACGTCCTTGAAAACATTAGAGAACATTATCCCTCCAGGCACTGAGTAAGGGGACGGGTGAGGGCGAAACAAGCAGCACAGTGGCTGGTGTCCCGCCTGGAGGCACGTGGCAGGCCAGCGGCAGGGGCACGATCCGAACCCAGAGCTCCCGACTGTCAGCCCAGAGCGCTCGCCACCCAACTCGGCTCCCGTCCCCTTGCACCACCCAGACCTTTCTTTCCTGCCTCACACCTGGGCTTGCCTAACGGCCCAGGAGCACCACCGCTCCCCAGCGGCAAGGCTGCCACGGCTCGTTTCTTTTGCGAGGGAACCGGGCGGAGCAGGGACATCGGGGGACTTCCCCGCGGAGGCCTGGGCCCTGCACGGCAGCCTCGTTTCTCGTCACCCCGGTCCCGGCCCCGCACCTGCGCGGTGAACTGCGCCTTCTGCTGCTCGGCCGCCACCAGGCGCTGCAATTCGGCTTCGTCCGCCTCTCCCAGCTCCGCCATTGTCCGCGTCGGGGGGGGGGGGGGGGGGCTCAGGACTTCCGGTCACGTGCGTGCGCAAGTGCGGCGGCCGCACGCCGACTCCCTACTTCCGACTCCCGACTTCCGGTTAACCAAGCGTTTTCCTTTTCCTTGTTTTCCTTCGCGTCGCGGTAGGAGGTGCCCTGTGACTCCTTCCGGGTTGCTGGGTGACCTTGAACTTTCAGGAGCGAGATGGCGTGTGTGTGGAGGCTGAGTGCCCTCTGCGGGGCCCGAGGAGGCCGAGGTGAGGGTCCGGGGCCGCGGCTTCCCGCGGGGCAGGGATGCGGGAGGCTCCCCTGCGGGGTGGCCTGGCCTCTGCAGCCGGGAGGTCCTCCTCCTCCGCGTTGGCCACTCCGGCTCCTGTGGGAACCACAGCAACGACCACCGCGCCCGCGGGCCCAGCTCTTCCCGGAGCGCCTCCCTCTCCCGCCCTGGGCCGCCGTGCGGAGGGTACATCGGAAAGAACTGGCTCTGGGAGTCACAGGCCTGCCGAGGCCATTCACAGGAGCTCTCCCCTTCCCGTCCCCTGCCCTGACCGCGCGCCCACCCTGCCTCGAAAAAGAGGATCTACATCCCATCGCCTGGTCTTGCCCCTCGAGGGGGTGGGCGTACTGCATCAATTCGATAATCATTGGACTGGGCCTTTGTGTTGTATCAAGCACTATAGTAGTAAGCTTGGGAGTCAGATGCGAATAAAACATAGTTTCTGCCCTCAAAAACTTTTCCTTTTCATAGGGAAAACCCATATAAGCATAATTTAACACCAACTGTTGTGCTGCTGTACGTACATTGTTATGCCGTCCCAGAGGGAGAATATATTTAGCGCTCGGTTTGGAAGAAGTACCTTTTTGTCTGATCGCAAGGCCACAGGAATAAGGTCTACAGTTAGGGCTACTGAGATGAGCAAATGCAGTGATGAAGGAAGGTGGAGAAACTGGTTGCTAGGAGAGGAAACAAAACAAATTGGATGAAGCTCAATATAAGGAATGAGCGCTGAACCTGGAAAGGGGAACTGGGATCAAATCATACAAGAACTTGTCTTGGTAAGGAGTAAGCATTTTACCTGGCGTGCAGGGGAGCCATTGACAAATTTGACATAGATTTGCAGTTTAGATGGACCACTTTGGTAGCAGGGTGGTCGATAGCCATCGAGGGAGATGGTCAGGCTAAGACACAAGGCGGGGAGAGGAGGTAGGACGCTGGGGTAGCAGTACAGGCAAGAGGTTCTGGCCTTGAAGAGAAGTCCAGAAAACCTTGTCTCAAGAGATGTTTGGGTACATCGGTGCGATTTGGCAATTGACTGAATTTAGGGAGAAAATCCTACATGACTTACAGATTTCTGGGTTAGGCTGAGATGTCTTTAAAGTGGGGAGCATACAAATGGCAGACAATTTTGGATGAGAAAAGTGACTTTAGGGATGATTTTAGTTTTTGGCATGGTGAGTGTGAGGACCGTGTTGGATATGTCAGGCGAGAGGCTCAGCAGGCACTTAAACTTCTGAAACTGGAGAGATATCAGGGCTGGAGATACAGAATTTGGGTGTTATTAACTCAGTAGAAGCTGAGTAGCCAGAATGGCCAGGGGTGGGAAGAGGAAGGGAGGAGAGCAATGGGCAGATGATGGAATCCTGGGAGAACATTTAAGAGAATGCAGGAGGTCTTGGTGGTGTGGTTCAGTGGTTGAGTGTGGACTCAGGAACTAAGAGGTCCTGGTTCGATTTCCAGTCACGGCACAGGCCTGGGTTTTGGGCTCGATCCCCAGTAGGGAGTGTGCAGGAGGCAGCTGTCGATGATGTTCCTCTCACCGATGTTTCTCTCTCCTTCTCTCTCTAAAAATCAATATATTTTTTAAAAAGAGTGAATGCAGGAAGAGACTGATATAGGATGATCAGAGAATCGAAGAGAGAATTAGAAGAGAGTTCTGTCAGAAAAAAAGGGAGGAAAGAGCACAACGCCAAGTGGTGACAAGAAGCCCAATAACACAATCTGAACAGTACCTGTTGGATATGGCTACTTGAGATCATTGGCAACTTACTAAAGCAGCTTTTGTGGGGATAACAATAAGCTTCTGAGTTAAAGAATGATACGAAAGCTGAGATGATTTATTTTGTTTTTAATTTTACTTTGTTGATTTTAGAGAGAGGAAGAGAAACATCAATGTGAGAGAGAAACATCAATCGGTTGCCCCCTTTACGTGGCCCCATTGGGGATCAAACCTGAAACTGGGTATGTGCTCTGATCGGGAATCAAACCTGCACTTTTTGGTGTATGGGATGATGCCTCAACCAACTGAGCCACACCAGCCAAGATGATTGAAATAACACTTTAAAGCAGCATGGTTGGAAGGAGGAGAAAGAGAACAGGGGAAGGGCATATGGGCATTGTAGGAATTAGTATCAAGGGAAGTATATTACATCAGTGGAGGGACAATGGCCAGTTGGAAGGAGAGGTTAAAGACACAGGAGAGAAATGACCTCTCATTGAGTGCTTAAAAGTTCTTGAAATTATACTGAACACTTTGCATATATTTAATTAAAAAAAATATATATATTTTATTGTTTTTTTTCACAGAGAGGAAGGGAGAGGGATAGAGTTAGAAACATTGATGAGAGAGAAACATCGACCAGCTGCCTTCTGCACACCCCCCATCGGAGATGAGCCCGAAACCAATGTACATGCCCTTGACCAGAATCGAACCTGGGACCTTTCAGTCCGCAGACCGATGCTCTATCCACTGAGCCAAACCGGTTTCGAGATTATATATATATATATATATATATATATATATATATATATATATATATAAAACTTTTAACAGTATTATAAAATAAATGCTATTATTTCCATTCTACAATTGAGGACATTGAGGTTAGGGGGCCTGTTTTACTTTATTGCTGATCGTCTCATAACTTGTAAGTAGTGGAGTTGGGTTAACTAAGGTCTGTCTGTTTGTTAACCAAGACACAGGATCCCAAACAGGGCAGAAAGAGAGTTCAGGAGTACAAGTGGAGAAATTGATCTTGAAAAGGAGGATGCTATTAAATGAACTTGGCAAACTAGACTGAATTTGTTGAGAACAAAGACTGTATCTTTATCTTTTACTCCACTGCCAAGCGGATGAGTAAATGGAAGGAGGAAACTACAATTTACTTTTAAAAATTAGTAAAAGTGAAGCCTTTTTACATAGGGGTTTGTTAAATTTCAGTCTTCCAGTGGTTAATCTGACCTTACAGCAGCCCAGTGAAATAGATGTTATCCTATCATTTGTATTGATTTCAGAGAAGAAGGTAGAGGGAAAGATGGAAATATCATTGATGAGAGAGAATCATTGATTGGCTGCACATCCTCACTGGAGATCAAGCCCATACCTGGGTATGTGTCCTGACCAGGAATTGAAACATGACCTCTTGGTTCATAGGTTGATACTCTACCACTGAGCCAAGCTGGCTGGGCAAAATAGATGCTGTCTTTAATTTACAGATGAGATGTTATCCTCTGTTAGAGTTGAAGTAGTTTGCCTGTGGCCATTTAGAAAGTCTGTCAATCCTGTTACAAGAGAGATGCTTATGATCCTCCTAATGTCTCTTTCCTTAGCTCTCTTCCTCCGAACCCCAGTGGTCAGACCTGCTCAACTCTCGGCATTTCTCCAGGACCAACCTGCCCCAGGATGGTGTGGAATACAGCACATTCACCTGTCACCCAGCCACCATTGTATGTTTTCTCTATTGCTGCTGTTTTCTGGGCTCTGGCCATCTTTATCTGAAGTAGTTATCATGTCTTTGGGAGGACTTGTCTGTGGGGGTAACTTTTGTGTCCAACTCTGTCACATAAAGACCTAGCCTACACCTTTGGGCAGACCACACCAACATGGTTGAATGATGCCATTTACACTCAGAGAATCTTTTGGTATAAGTCTTTTTAAAAATTTTTTATTTTTTAAACAAGAAAATAGCTTTAAGAAGGGTCTGTTCAGTAGTTTAGTTACTCTTATTTAGTTTATGGAGAGGATCCAAATATGAATAACTTAAAGTAGTGGACAATATTTAAAAAGTTATGCATATTTATAGTTGTTTTTTTAAAAAAAATATATTTTATTGATTTTTCACAGAGAGGAAGGGAGAGGGACCGAGAGCTAGAAATGTTGATGAGAGAAACATCGACCAGCTGCCTCTTGCACATCCCCTACCGGGGATGTGCCCGCAACTAATGTATTGTACATGCCCTTGACCGGAATCGAACCTGGGACCTTTCAGTCTGCAGACCGACGCTCTACCACTGAGCCAAACTGGCTTCGGCGCATATTTATAGTTTTATTTAACTTGTTAGTTTTTATATAGGTTGATAATAAAATCATGGCATTTCTTGGATGAATACTGTTTTTAGATATTATTAAAGCTAGTCTTAGCCAGTACAGGTGAATAATGAATTGACTGTAATTCCATTTTTGAAGTCTGGAAAGATCAAATAAAGACTCTTGACTCTTAGATCAACCACTTAGATATAGTTGCATCTGAGTTATGAGAAATTATACAAGTGTAATCTTTTTTCTTTTTAGACTAATTTTATCTTTGAAAAGTTTTTGTTTCTGCATTTTGTTGCTTAGTTTAGTTAGATTTATCAGAGTAGTTTTAACTTGGAATGTATGGGACTGAAAACCCCTGAAGTTGTATACACAGTTTTAATGTATGTGTTCATGTGCATTTTTCTGGAAAGTCGCTCCATCCTTTTATTAGATTCCCAAAAGGATCTATAACAAAACAAAACAAAACAAAACAAAACAAAAGAGGCTCTCAAAGAAATGTTTATTGCCCATTTGGTTTTTCACTTGTTTATTGTTCCATTTCTGTTGATGAGCAATGGGACAGAATAAGGACCATGGTCCTAAAAGTTGACATCAGAACTTTGCTTCTCTCAGTTGGCTGTTTTTGTTTAAAAAAAAAAAAAAATTTAATGTTTTAAAGGAATTTCTCAGGTGTCCCTAACTTGTATTCATTAGGTATCTGTCTATTATACTGAAGTCCAAGGTTGGTAATTCTGCAAAATATTTTGTCCATTTCTTGCCTATAAGT